ACCGCAAACAAACCCCAAGTCCCTCCTTTATGGAGATGTGAAAAGATGTGAAATCTCAATAGTCCATTCAGACGTGTAATTACAGGACAATCCACCTCTTGTGTATGATGACGCTCGGCCAAGCATCACAGTCAGTGTTGGAGGCATATTTTGCGTATATTCGTAGATATTCTACTCTCTAATTGCAAATGGAGACGCGGGTACTCTGTTTTGTTTTAAAATCTTCATTTTTAAGTGATTTTGGTTTTACCGCATTGCCAACAGTTGCTGGGGTGCATCCACAGTTTCGTTGTACTCATACAATGACAATAAAGTTCTTCTAAATTCTAAATTCCTTGCAGCTTCGGGACGGGGCCTCAGACACCCACCTTGACAAGAGTCCACTTTGGGCCAGGCGCCAGGCAAGGCTGCCCCACCGCCTGCAATAGAGCCCCCCGAGACAGGCTGTCCTGCCTCCTAACAGCTCCCGGGGTCCCTTATTTCCAGCTTGGGGTGCCCCCCCCCCCCCCCCCCAGACCTCCCCTTCCCGGCTTCCCCCCCAGGCCCCTGCAAATCCCCCCCCCCCCTTGCCCTCCTCCCGTCCTTCTCGGCTTGGAGCGACTCGAAGCGGGCGCTCCAACTGGATCCCGGTCGGCGCAGCCCAGAGGGGACCGGGCCAGCCTTAGCGCCCCGTGAAGAGGCAGCCTCAGGATCGCCTCGGCCGTTCCCCGCAGCTGCAGCGCCCAGATCCCGCCCGGGCCGTCCCGCTGCGCCCGACCAGGCTGCGTGCCAAGCCATTTCGGCCGCGCAAGCCCCGGGAGCTGCCTTTCCCCGGGCAGAAGAAGGCTGCGGGGGCCCCACGGAAGCCCCCCCCCCCATCCGCTAAGAAGGCCCCCGAGGGCGGCGGAGGCTGGGATGCTCGCGGAGGGGCCGGCCTCGCTCGGCCGGCGCTTAGCCCGGCGGGGGCGGCAGGCGGGGCGGTGCCCGCCGCTGACTTCATCCCGGCTTCCTGGCGGGCGGGCGCAGCGCCTATAAAGCCAAGCGCGGGGCAGCCGGGACCGCACCGGCCCCGAGCTCAGGAGCCGCCGAGGGAGCCGAGTAAGCAACGGGGCGGGGGGCGCGGGCGCGGGCGGAGGGGCTCCCCGCCTTTGCCGGCCGGTCGGTCAGAGCAGGCGGCGGAGGGGCCGCTCCTCCTGCTCAGAGGACGAGGCTGGGGGGGGGGGGTCTCGGCAGGCGGGCCGGGGAGAAGTGGCGCCCCGCGACCGGCTTCACCTTCTTCCTCTCTCGTGGCAGGATGGAGCTGTGGTCCCACCTGGGCGTGTGGTCCCACCTGTGCCTCCTGGCGCTTTCGCAGACCGCCGCCGCCGGCCCCCCTTCTGGCCTGCCCGTGGCCCGGGTGGCCCAGCTCTCGGCGGACTTCGGGCTCCGGCTGTTCCGGGAAGTGTCCAAGGCGTCCAAAGAGCAGAACCTGGTCTTCTCCCCGCACGGCGCGGCGTCGGTGGTGGCCATGCTGCAGGTGGCCTCGGAGGGAACCACCCGGCGGCAGATCCAGGAGGCCCTGGGCTTCAGCCTGAAGGGTGAGGGAGGGGCGTGGAGGCCCCCTGCTTGGGGGGGGAGGGGCTGGCCCCTCGCTCTCTTCTGGCTCTGCTCTTTGGGGAAAGGGAGATGGGGGAGGGGCAGCCTAGTTGGGAGCCTGACCCCTTAACCTGGGCAGGCGCAGGTGGGTCCAACCGTGAGGAGGCCAGGAAGGCTGAGGGGTTGTTGGAAGGGAAGCGCCGGGGCAGCCTCTGGGCAGGAAAGGCCCCGCCTCGCCCTCCCGCAGGCCAGCTCTGCTCTCCTGGAGGGTCCCCTGGTGGGGGAGGGGAGGGCAGGGCAGGGCCTGGCTGTGGGCTGCAGCAGAGCTGAGCTTGCTCTCCCCTCCCCCTCCCCCCCCTTCCAGAACGGGGCATCCCTGGAGCCCTGTGGCTGCTGCAGAAGACCCTGGGCGACCCGCAGGGCAAGGACGCGGTGCGGGTGGCGGAGGCCCTTTTCGTGCAGCGGGACCTGCCCCTGGTGCCCACCTTCCTGCGGCGCTTCCGACGCCTCTTTCACCAGACGGTCAAGCAGGTGGACTTCGCGGAGAGCAGCCGGGCACGCGGCATCGTCAACGCCTGGGTGGAGCAGCACACCAACGGTGAGGGGCAGCCTCGCGAAAGGAGGTGGGCTCTGCCCCGGGTCCCCAGGCTGGCAAAGGCCGGTGGGGTGCGGGGTTCAGGCCTGGACTTCCGCTGAAGGGCCTGGAAGCAGCACTTGCCCACCCCCCCTGCCCCCCGGTCTCCCCACTGACCGTCTCTGCTTCCGCAGGGATGATCCAGGGCTTCCTGCCGGAGGGCGCACTGGACGCCCTGACGCGCCTGGTGCTGGTCAACGCCATCCACTTCAAAGGCCTCTGGCAGCTTCCCTTTCCGGAGGCCGCCACTCGCCAGCGGATCTTCCACAAGCTGGGCGGCAGCACCGTCGCGGTCCCCATGATGGAGCAGACGGCCGAATTCCACTACGGTGAGGAAGCCCCGCTGTGGAGAGGTGGCGGTGGGGCATGTGCAGAGTGCGCCTCTGGTTGCATCTGGGGTCTCAACCCCGCCCCCCCCTTCTCTTCCAGGCGAATTCTCCACCCCGGGGCTGGGGGAATACGATGTCATCGAACTGCCCTACCAGGGGGCGACACTGAGCATGCTCATCGCCAGCCCCTTCCAGCTGGACGCTCCGCTCTCGGCCCTGGCCGCAGCGATCGATCCCGCTCTCCTCGCAGAGTGGAAGGGCAACATGTCCGCCGTGACCCGACTTCTCGTCTTGCCCAAGTAGGCGTCGCTGGGGACGGGCTCCAGCCACCAAGGCCACGGAGGCCCTTCGGCCAGTTGCTGACCCTTCCTTCCCTGCAGGTTTTCCCTGGAGAGCGAAGTCGACCTCCGTGGGCCCCTGGAGGCCCTGGGCGTGACGGACATGTTTGACTGCCACAAGGCCAACTTCAGCCGCCTCTCAGGTTGGCGTCTCCCCTCTATGCCACCCTTGGCTTGTCACCCCCCAGGCTGGGCACCGGCTGCGTGCTGGCCGGCTGTGGCTGAACCTGGCGAGGCTGAGGCCCAAGCCCAGCAGGAGGAGGAGGAGGAGGAGGAAGACTGTGGGGTCTTAGTTGTTCTCCGAGCTTGGTTGGTTTCCTGGCAGACATTTTATCACCCAACTAGGGAACATTATCAGTGCTGGAAGGGAGGGGGGTTTAGGGAGAGGAGGAAGAGGAGGAGAGGAGGAGGAGGAGGAGGATTGTGGGGCCTTAGTTGTTCTCTGAGCTTGGTTGGTTTCCTGGCAGACGTTTTGTCACCCAACTAGGGAACGTTACCAGTGCTGGAAGGGAGGGGGGTTTAGGGAGAGGAGGAGGAGGAGGTCTCTGGGAGTGTGCAGAGTGCTTTTCCTGGAGCCCATCAGCTCTGGCAGGAGAGAGGCCGAAGCAGGCAGGCACTCTGTACGCTGCTGTGGCTTGGCTGGCCCCCTCCGGCAGAGCGGGGCTGCGCAAGGGAGAGGGGCTGCCCATGCGAGGGGCTTGGCTGGCGGGGGGAGGACGGCCATCCCGCTCACCCTCTGCCCTCTCGTTGCAGTGCGGGATGCTCTCTTTGTGTCTCGGGCGCTGCAGAAAGTGAAGATTGACGTGAATGAGAGTGGCACCGAGGCCTCTTCTGCCACAGGTGGGTGCCCTGGGTCACTGCAGCGGCCCTGCCCTGTCCAGGCCCTGCCAGCAGACAACACCTACACACACACACACACTCTTTGCAGCTTCCTAACATGCACCGGGGTTGGTTTTGCTCCGAAGTGGGTCACCCCCTCGGGAGGAGGTGAGGGGCCAGGGACGGCAGGCTGGGGGGGGGGGGGGCGCTGCTCCCCACACCCCCGGCCAAAATTTCTCCGGCTGCTGAACGGCCCCCCCCCCCCCCCCCCCCCCCCCTCCCTCCCTTCCAGCTGCCATCGTCTATGCCCGCATGGCGCCCTTGGAGATCGTGCTGGACCGGCCTTTCCTGTTTGTTGTGCGGCACAACCCAACCGGTAAGGCCCACCAAGGACCCTTCCTCCCGCCAAAGGCTCGGCAGGCTGCCCCAAAGGGGGGTGCAGGAGCCCAGGGAAAAATCCACTCCCCCCCCACAAATAAAGGGGGCCTTCACTTGGACCAGGACCGCCCCCCTCCTCCCCAGGGCCAGGCTTGGCTTGGCTGCCAGTGTGCCAGCCACAGTTCCCGATGCGGAGGGAGGGAAACTCCGTTCTTGGTTCGGTCCAAGAGCCCCAGGAGGTGGAGGCGACCGAGGAAGGGACGGGGTGGTGGTGGGTCCGCTTTGCCCCACCCTCCTGTAGACACTTCCTTCCTCCCCGCAGGCACCATCCTCTTCACGGGGCAGGTGATGGAGCCCTGAGGGCCCCTCTGGAGCCAAGGGGGCCCAGGGAGCCTCTGTGTGCCAGCGGGATCAACGCCCACCGGTCCCTGCGTGGAAGCTGCTCCTGCTACTGGGCCTGGTCCCTCGCCTGCCACACCACGGCCACACACACATCCTGGCACCGAGGGCACCTGGCAAGTCGCCACACCTGGGCCACAGGAGCTCCAGGCAGCAGGGGGGGGGTCTCCCAAGGAAGGCCTGGACCCAGGAGGAGAGAGGCCCCCGCCCCCGTGGAGGCCAGTCCCGCCCCTCCCCGAAGAGGAGTCTGAACTAAGCACTTTGGGACTAAGGAGAGAAACTTAATATATGCAGAGATTTGGTCATATTTTTGCACATAAAATGCATTTTTGCACATAAAAACAGATCCCTGGTCTTATTTTTGCACGTAAAAGGCGCTCGGCCGCTTCTTTGCGGCCCTTGGGGAGGGGGGCGGGCAGGCCGGGCCCCGCCTCTCCCGGGCTCTGGGGCGGGGCGGCCAGGAGGAGGAGGAGGAGGCGGGGGTTCCCGTTGACGTCACGGCAGGGCGTCTCCCGCGTCTCCGGGGCAACCGCCCGGGTCCCGGAAGTGCCCGCCGCGAGCATGCGCGGCCGGAGGCACCTGGCCAGGTTGAGGGCGGAGAGGAAGCGGCTGCCGGGCCCGCCTGGGACGCCCCGCCGCCGCCGCCGCCGCCATGGTGAGCAGGGCCCCGGGGGGATCGGGCGCCACGCCGGGGCAGGGGAGGCCCGCGCGGCTTCTCCGGGCGGGCGGGCGGGCGGGCGGGGAGTCTGGGCGGCAGGGCGAGGCGAGGCGCCCCCGAGGAAGGGGGAAGCATGGCGGGCGGGATTCCCCCCCCCGGGAAGCGCGCCCGGCGGGGAGGCGGCGCAGCAGCAGCAGCAGCAGCAGCAGCACCGGGCGGGGGGGGGGGGGGGGGGGGGGCTCGGTGGCGGCGTTTCTGCTCGTCTCCCGCGGCCGGTTCCTCCCTGGGCCGTTGCCGGGCCCGGCGAGGGGCGCCCCGGCTCCGTCCCCGCTCAGCCGCCGCCGGTGTGGCCCGCAGATGCGCTTCATGCTGCTCTTCAGCCGGCAAGGGAAGCTCCGCCTGCAGAAGTGGTACCTGGCCACCTCGGACAAGGACAAGAAGAAGACGGTCCGGGAGCTCATGCAGGTGGTGCTGGGCCGCAAGCCCAAGATGTGCAGCTTCCTGGAGTGGCGGGACCTGAAGGTGGTCTACAAGAGGTGACCGGCCCCTCCCCCCGCGCCCCTCCCCCCTCGGGGCCCCTCCCCCCTCGGGGCCCCTCCCCCCT